TCTCGAAAATCATTGATTGTATGATGAAACTACTACAACAATCTAATAATACTTAAGAGTTATCTTCTTAATGGTTTTGTCAGTTTTTGTTGAAAATATCAAATTTCTGAAATATGACCTCCAACTTATTTCATCATTTTCTCTTCTTTTTTCTTTCAAAAATCGACAAAACCATTCAAAAGATCACTAAAAAGTGAAGTCGTCTTTTCATACAATCAATATTTTTCGAGATACAGTGCAGACTCGATAATCCGAACGTTCAATAATCCGAATTCTTCAGTAGTCCGAACAAGCATTTTTAATACATTGAGTACTCTATAATCGGAATTTCATAGTACTCGATAATACGAACCTATACCTTTAGGCCTATTTATTTCCTATAGAAAGTGTGAGTGAAATGTTCAGGGATTCCCCTAATTGTTCTTTTGTTAGTATCTGGGATTCACATTATGCAAGGAAGAAAATAATATTCCGTTAAATGATATTCTTGTACTTCGAAGATTAAAAGAAATGGCCTTTATAAATAATCAAAGATGTGCTAAGAAAACAAAAATTACAAATTACTTTAGAAACTAGTATTATATTCTTACTTTTATGCATATTTTAGTGTTACTTTTTCGTATTTATGTTTTTTTTGCATTTCGTAATAAAAAATTTAAAAAAAAAAACTGCTTCGGTAATCCGAATTGCCTTGGTTTTTATTAGTTCGGATTATCGAGTCTGCACTGTATTCGAGAAAAATGAAAATACAAAATATTAGATTTTCTTGAATGACTCAGAATCAGAAATGACTGAAGAAGTCTCGACGGATTCTGAATCACAATTGAATTTGCTGAAAAAGCCGACTCTCTATTAGGCCTGGGAAAAATTATCAATATATCGATAACTATCGATAAATCGTAACTATTAAAACTTGAACCACAAAAATATATTCACCAGTGGCGCATTCTTCGCATTACGAATTTTTTTTCTGAATGTCTTGACCCCTTTGGTATTCACTGAAATGACGCTCCTGTATAGGTATAGTCTATCCAAAGTCAATTGGAGCATCTACCGCACCAGGCGGTGGCGGCGGTTTTGAAGTTCCTTCTCGAGACGCTCCAATTGACTTTGGATAAACTGTATATTAGACTTTAATCTGTAATTTTTGGTGTATATTGAAACATCCTGTATTGATTTTCAATCGAAGTGATGTGTTGCATGGGGTGCAGAATATTCATTCAAAAATATATCCTCAATATTATACAACATTGTACGCAGAAGCAAAGGTATTCACAATTGAGCAATCATTTCATGAGAATGCATCGTAAATGATTTACACATCCCAAGTATTACACGAAATATGAGCACAGCTAGTCAACAAGAAGCTCGATGAGGAGTCAAACAGAAATCCAGCTACAAATCCCAAAATCACAGAAAAATAGTGCCGAAAACAAAATTAAACACCATATTCTAAACTTTTCAAACTGTTGAATATTGTCAAACTATAAAAACTTCCAAAAGAACGAAAGTGTGTGTGATGGTTTTTTTTACCTCGCTACGAGATGCCAACTACTTATAAAGACTGCCCCGAAATTAGCCTGCCAAGCCTTACTAGCGGCTTCTACGACCAATAGGAAGAAAAGTTACAATGAACATGAGTTGAGAAATTTCTCCCGAGGGAGCTACGACCCCCTGAAGAAGATATTTCTTGAATATTTCCGAAACGACATGTGATGAACTGATTCGGTACAAAAACTAAACTTTCTATGCAAAATTTCATTCAGGAGTGTATAATACAGAGTGTGACTACATTAAATTATACGGCAAAATGTTGGAATGAAAAACGCACCCATGGTTTTGTATCAATTATTATACACAGGTAGAAATTATTCATCAACTAGGCAGAAAACCAGAAATCATTTGTATTTTCATGGTATTTTCTTTCATTCAGATCTTGATGCATGAAATTCAGATCACCTTTGGGAAATGATCCAGAACCAACTGATGTTCCAAAGAAAAGGAAAAAATTATTCCAAAAATGTTTTCCATCATTTTTAGTTTCCTTCGGATTTTGACTATTTTGAATAATTTTTTGAAATGACTAGGCCGTTACTTGATGGGAATCCATAGCAAGTGTAGAAACTCCACAAAAGATAAGATTTCGCTTTTAGGTGTATGGTAAATTGACATTCATCATACAGGGCGTGGAAAGAAATTCTGAATTGAGACTCTATCTCTCGCTCTATCTATAAGATTCCCACGAATTTCTCAAACACACAACATGTTTCGCTAACACAGTAGCTTCGTCAGGTGATTGTACCAGTACCTATATCATTTGACGAAGCTACTGTGTTAGCGAAATATGCTGTGTGTTTGAGAAATTCATGGAAATCTTATCGTTTGTGAAGTTTTTACTTTTTCTTTTTAATAAATTGCACAATTACCACCAAAGTTGTACAATTTGACAACCTGTCATCAGTACAAGTGGAATTATCCTAGGAACAACAGTGGCCTGCTAATGTCGAGAGGAGTCTCGCCAACGAACATCAATTTTCAAGTTGATGTTCGATGGTCTCGCCTACGAATAATACCGCTCGCAGAACGGCAAGCGATCCCCTATATTTAATAGTTTCGCCCGGTCTGTCGCCGTCGACAAAAAACCCGATCCGGCCGCAGCTCCGGATCCGAAATGGAATCCCTCTTAGATCGGCTCGGACTAAAAAATTCAGAGAGTTTGCCGGAGCGCGGGCATCGACCGCCGCGGCACAGCCACAGCATTGCCATTGCCGGCTTCGATTTTCGATTGGGACAGAGGGCTTTGTTTACGGTCGCGGTGAATGGCCCAGATAGGTCTCGTATCGATTCCCTCGCGTATATCTCGACGACTCCGAATTTATTGATTTCGGCATCATCTTCGCCGGTCGCCGGTCGCTTGCCCCCTTGTCGATCGATAGTAGCGGGCGCTGCACCCCTTCTGTCGTTCGAAACTGCACACAATTACTTTCACTTCTGGGGGTCTATTCTTGAATTTCGAACGAAATATGTCGAATTCGACATATGTCGATAGAAATTGTCGCACAACGTTTAAAGAGACTATTTATGCATCATTGTCTCAGCCATTGTCTTAATCATAGACCTTCATGCATTATGCAAGAATTATGATATGACAATTGACAATCAAAGAATGTAACAGCAAATTACTTAATAAAAAACTGAAAGAATACCTTATGAGAAAATAGACTTGAAGCTTGGTTAAGCTTTGAATTGATCTGGCAACATTTGTAATCTTTTTGAGAAATTTCATTAAAACGCATAATAATGGTAAGTAGTGACAAATTCTGTGATATAATTAGGCTATTTTCAATACTACACTGTAGCCAATGTACCTGACAAAATGTACTCTGTATATATTTTCAGCAATTCTTGGTTTTTTTACATGTTTTTTTTTATAGTAAGGACCTTTATGAAAATGTAATTTTCCGTGGTTCAATGAAGAAAAAAATAAATTAAATTAAAAAAATTAATCCGTCAAGAGATCCGTCAGTAGATAGGTACAAAAACAAATTCTATGCACCAAAGATAAAATGTAGTCTACTTTTACCAATCAATGCCATGATTTGTGACATTGATTCCCAGGAATTCTCTATTTTATCTGTCTTTCTTGTCCCAAAGATGGGGAAATTTCTCTACCAAATCTACTAGACCTCCTTCTTCCAGGCTCATGATTTTTTGATATTTATTATTAAATGTAATAAAATTATCAGAATGATGTAATCAATTATTGATACAGCACAGAATGGCACTGATTTTTTGGTAACAAACACAAAATTATGTCATTTGTGAATTTTTCAGAAAAAAATCGATTTTTCATTGATTATTCAAAATCCATTTAGCTGATTTTGATAAAACTTGTCACGCTCATCTGCAGTAGCAATAGGGTTCAGTGAATTCAAATTTACCACTATTTTCTCCAATTATTACTTTCTTCCTACCCTACCTGAGTTATAACTCAGAATTTTGAAGTTTTTATTTTTTCTTCCAGGCCTGTTTCAGTGAAAAATTTTGATTATTTATATATTTTTTTTTTTTTCAAAAAATTACTCATATTGAAATTCACGATATTAACGGTATTTTTAATCGAGAGAAAAAAAACAACACGCGAAAATTGAATGGGCAATGAGGCCTTTCCACAGCCCTAAACAGAAGTTCAACAGGGTGATCTATAATATGGCAAAATTTTGTAGTTCTGTGTTAATATTTGAAAAGAGAGGGAAGGAATGAATAAAGTGACCTACTTTCTACTTATTACAAGCGTACATCCAATCTGACAGATGTTTCATTATTAGTTTTTGAAAAATTGACGCCTCGATTGACGCTTAATTTTGAACTCGATTTTGAGGCATTTATATATACCGAGAAAGAATTAATATTTCTATTAGATAGAGAATGCGAATTCTCAATCTATTTCTCTATATGTATCTTTTTTTTTTCATGTTCATAATATATCTGAGAATATTTCTATTCAAAAACAGTCTTCGAATTTCAACTTCATGAGAATCAAATTATGTGAAATTTGTCAATGATTTCAGAAATTCTCGAGGGCTCATTGTATCCTTCACTATTTATTCCCCGATTCATTCATAAGCTGCAGTGAAGTAAGCTATGCAAAAAATTCTACAATCTTGACAGTTCAAAATCACTTGAATGATATTAATGGTAACGTGAAGGTTATTGTGTTAAGGCCTCGGTTAAGGCATCATTATGGATACTTTTAAATGTAACAACACAATACAAGCATGAACAATTATTATTACTTTAAAGTTACACCACTAATATCGCACAAGCAAGAAAATACATACAATATCAATTATATCAACATCAGGCTATGAAACGTTCAACAGATATCGAATTGATAGACTCGGTAAGTCGGAATTTTCGATCAATTCAATTCAATTGAGATATCGGATAATACCTAATGATCATAAAAATAATAATAGTTTTTTTTCTGTTCGACTTACCTGATGGTTTCCACAATTTCTATGGCCCCATCATGTTTGTCCTGAAAAAAAAAAACGAATTTCAAACTGGGGAAGGAATTTTCTTGATGTAACAGGTGGAGAACATGGTATTTTTCTACATCCCTCATCTAAGGCACAGCATTTTAATAAAATGGGTATAATGTAGGGAATGATGTCTCAGATGTGATCAGCCATGAAAAGATTACATAAAGCCATAATCAGGAAAGTGAAATTAATTCCAGATGTTCAAGAGGAAATACCTAGTATCGGACTCGGTACCGGAGCAACAATTTTCGACCTTGAGAGATTCAAAATAATCATTTTCCCACGTGATGAGGAAATTCCTGAATACCCGGTAGAAGCAAAATGGCCGGAAAACCATAATAATTAATTGTTCACGGTGTGAAATTAGCTGGCAGTTATTCTGTTGGCGTGTGTCAGAGTCAGATGTGATGAGTCATTTTTACTTTTGAATATTCTATTTAAAATTCCATCGAATAAATGGCTTGAATGAAGGACGAAAACCATTGGCAGATTATCAAAAACTTCCATTTGTTGTACGGTTGGTACGAGTTCAGACGTAAAATCAAAATGAGATGTGACAAAAGAATGAATCGGACAATAGAACGAGTGCTTGACCCCATTTGATTATACACTAATAAACTTTTTTTTCCTCTACACTCTACACTCTACATTTTCTTGAAGAGAAGATTAAAAATAGAATGAAGGTAAGATGGGTCACCTGGTTATATATTTTTAATGACTTCAATGAGTGAAAAAATGCGAACATTGACGCAATTAATATATATCGACAGGAAACTGGCATACAACAAGGAAAATGTTATGTTGAGAAAATTTCAAGTAGATACCTATATAACCAATAAATTAGCTGAACCCACACTATTACACATCTTTATCTACTTTCTCAAACTCCAAGCATGCTGAATCTCTCATCTCTCCTATTTCCGGTATCGCGTACTATACTATACGTTCAAGCAATGATTCCATTCATACAATTTTCTATCTAAATGAAGTATAGCGACCGCATTATATCCTAGAGAAAGCTGTACTATTTCAGTTGTAATTCCTCGGGTAATTCAGCAATTTGTTTTGTAGCGAGGTTGAGCTATAAGGATACCTACAATGATACTAAAAATAGCACCTATTTTTTTCACCTCAAGTATATGGGTCAATAAAACTGAAATTATAAACACAACAACGATGCCCTACAAACGAGAGGAAGTGTTATTTGTTCAGGTTACCTACTCAAGTTATACCTTCAAAGAGACGTCAAAACATGTGTTCTCTCAAATTAGGAGATGACTGGAATCTGGATTTAGCTGGAGTGAAGAAGGCATTCCTATATTTACTCTTCACATTCCCAAATAAAATACCGTGATCATCGATTGATGGTTTTTACATATTTTTTATCTTCATTGAATATATTTCACTATCAGAAGGTAGCACCAAAACTACTTGGGACAACCATAAAACAAGTTGATATCTGTAGAAATAACAGGAAACCGACAGGAAATGCACAGTCCTCACGTGTGAAATATATTTTTAACTACAAATCGAAGACTACCGGGTTCTGTATTTCTGTGGCTTGGAAAAACTCACCAACATCTATCATCTGTCAGAAAATCACAATATTTTTGGGATTTTCTCTGCTTGTCTCTATTAATAAAAATACTAGTATTATTACAATATACCTGTACTGTAGCAAGGAGAAATCAGATGATTTGACCCAAAATGTGATTGTGCTTAAAATTGCTCTATTAGAAACCTGAGAGAAAAATAAAACGTGTTGGTGGTAAATTACAAGAAAAAACTGTGTTCAAGAGTGAATGAGACCAATTCATACTCAAACAAAACTAAAAAATTAGGAACAATCATTGAAAAATTGTATATACAGCAACCAGCGTGAAAGCAGCCACGTCTTCCAGCCACGACTCCGCTGAAATTTTACGGCGCGCTACAAAACACCAACGGTAGTCAAATATTGAAAACGTGGCTGGCCAGCCACAAAATATCTAAAGCCGTTCGAATTTACTGGACACAGATTTTTTCTATCACATACAGTGTGTATGAATAAGATTGAATAAAAACACACAATATTTTGCTTGGCATGAATTTTCTCATATTATTCCACCTCTCAGACCGAGTCTCAGACTTACGAAAAAAACGATAAATTCCAAATTTCGAAAAATCATGACTCTCTTAAGGGAAGATATATCATTGATTTTCGTTCGAGAATATACAGTGTGTATGATGGTAAATGAGATTTATATCATGCAATATTCAGCCGGACAACATTTTTCCCGAAATCGACTACTCAAACTCGCAAAGAAATCGATAAATCTGAAATTTTGAAAAATCATAGCTCTCTTAATAGACGATATATCATTGATTTTTCTTCGAGGATATACAGTGTGTATGATGATGAATGAGATCTATATCATGCAATATTTTGCCGGACCAGATTTTTCCCGAAATCGATAACTCAAACTCGCGAAAAAATTGATAAATCTGAAACTTTGAAAAATCATAGCTTTCGTAATACACCATGTATCATTGATTTTTCTTCGAGGATATTCAGTGTGTATGATGGTGAATTAGATCTATATCATGTAATATTTTGCCGGCCAAGATTTTTCCCAAAATTGACCACTCAAACTCGCGATGAAATCGATAAATCTGAAACTTTGAAAAATCATAGCTCTCTTAATAGACCATATATCATTGATTTTTTCTCAAGGATATACAGTTTGTATGATGGTGAATGAGATCTATATCATGCAATATTTTGCCGGCCAAGATTTTTCCCGAAATCGACTACTCAAACTCGCGAAGAAATCGATGAATCTGAAACTTTGAAAAATCATAGCTCTCTTAATAGACGATATATCATTGATTTTTCTTCGAGGATATATAGTGTGTATGATGGTGAATGAGATCTATATCATGCAATATTTTGCCGGCCAAGATTTTTCCCGAAATCGACTACTCAAACTCACGAAGAAATCGATGAATCTGAAACTTTGAAAAATCATAGCTCTCTTAATAGACGATATATCATTGATTTTTCTTCGAGGATATACAGTGTGTATGATAATGAATGAGATCTATATCATGCAATATTTTGCCGGCCAAGATTTTTCCCGAAATCGACTACTCAAACTCGCGAAGAAATCGATGAATCTGAAACTTTGAAAAATCATAGCTCTCTTGATAGACGATATATCGATATATCATTGACTTTTCTTCGAGGATATACATTGTGTATGATGGTGAATGAGATCTATATCATGCAATATTTTGCCGGCCAAGATTTTTCCCGAAATCGACTACTCAAACTCACGAAGAAATCGATGAATCTGAAACTTTGAAAAATCATAGCTCTCTTAATAGACGATATATCATTGATTTTTCTTCGAGGATATACAGTGTGTATGATAATGAATGAGATCTATATCATGCAATATTTTGCCGGACCAGATTTTTCCCGAAATCGATAACTCAAACTCGCGAAAAAATTGATAAATCTGAAACTTTGAAAAATCATAGCTCTCGTAATACACCATGTATCATTGATTTTTCTTCGAGGATATACAGTGTGTATGATGGTGAATTAGATCTATATTATGTAATATTTTGCCGGCCAAGATTTTTCCCAAAATTGACTACTCAAACTCGCGATGAAATCGATAAATCTGAAACTTTGAAAAATCATAGCTCTCTTAATAGACCATATATCATTGATTTTTCTTCGAGGATATACAGTTTGTATGATGGTGAATGAGATCTATATCATGCAATATTTTGCCGGCCAAGATTTTTCCCGAAATCGACTACTCAAACTCGCGAAGAAATCGATGAATCTGAAACTTTGAAAAATCATAGCTCTCTTAATAGACGATATATCATTGATTTTTCTTCGAGGATATATAGTGTGTATGATGGTGAATGAGATCTATATCATGCAATATTTTGCCGGCCAAGATTTTTCCCGAAATCGACTACTCAAACTCACGAAGAAATCGATGAATCTGAAACTTTGAAAAATCATAGCTCTCTTAATAGACGATATATCATTGATTTTTCTTCGAGGATATACAGTGTGTATGATAATGAATGAGATCTATATCATGCAATATTTTGCCGGCCAAGATTTTTCCCGAAATCGACTACTCAAACTCGCGAAGAAATCGATGAATCTGAAACTTTGAAAAATCATAGCTCTCTTGATAGACGATATATCGATATATCATTGACTTTTCTTCGAGGATATACATTGTGTATGATGGTGAATGAGATCTATATCATGCAATATTTTGCCGGCCAAGATTTTTCCCGAAATCGACTACTCAAACTCACGAAGAAATCGATGAATCTGAAACTTTGAAAAATCATAGCTCTCTTAATAGACGATATATCATCGATTTTTCTTCGAGGATATATAGTGTGTATGATGGTGAATGAGATCTATATCATGCAATATTTTGCCGGCCAAGATTTTTCCCGAAATCGACTACTCAAACTCACGAAGAAATCGATGAATCTGAAACTTTGAAAAATCATAGCTCTCTTAATAGACGATATATCATTGATTTTTCTTCGAGGATATACAGTGTGTATGATAATGAATGAGATCTATATCAGGCAATATTTTGCCGGCCAAGATTTTTCCCGAAATCGACTACTCAAACTCGCGAAGAAATCGATGAATCTGAAACTTTGAAAAATCATAGCTCTCTTGATAGACGATATATCATTGATTTTTCTTCGAGGATATATAGTGTGTATGATGGTGAATGAGATCTATATCATGCAATATTTTGCCGGCCAAGATTTTTCCCGAAATCGACTACTCAAACTCACGAAGAAATCGATGAATCTGAAACTTTGAAAAATCATAGCTCTCTTAATAGACGATATATCATTGATTTTTCTTCGAGGATATACAGTGTGTATGATAATGAATGAGATCTATATCATGCAATATTTTGCCGGCCAAGATTTTTCCCGAAATCGACTACTG